TGTCACCAAGTGTTTCTGGAAGGAGGGTCCTGGCTGTGGCACTGTCAACCAACTTTTTTTCCTGGGCTTTTTATTAATCCTGGGGTTGTTTTATCACCAGGGCCATGTATTCTCCCATTGCTGGGAAACTGCTGTCCTGTATTTTGGTCATTTCTTCCTATTATTATTTTATTTCTACTATTATTGCTGTTATTGGACTTCCCTCATCCTTGTGGGTCCCTTCCATCTCAAGATACTCTGTGATTCATGGATTCTGTCCCCTGAGCTTTCAAACTTCTGCTGTCCATGTAAAACCACTCACAGGGTTGGGTTTGATCCCTTTGTGTCCCCATGTTTGTCACACACATTTCACACCCTTAATGATTCCCACCCTGAGCTTCATCTGACTTTCCTCTAGAATGAGATTTCCGTGGCTTCATCCCTCCAGGATGGTTTCTGCTGAACTTTGTCCATATCTCCTGGCTTCCTTTCCCTCTCCCCTCTTATCTGCCTAATTATTAGTGCTGGGAGAGCAGAGCTCATCTCTGCTGTAGGTTATCTATGTTTCAAAAGCTTCTCATCCCAATACCTACAGCCCCTGTTCTCTGCCTTCTGCCTCTGTCTGCCCTTTGAAGCATCCCAGCTCCCTTTTATCTGCTGCCAGGACAACTTACCCCTTCCATACCTCTGCTCTGAAATATGCTCTGTACACACACACACACAGATGAGATAATCTGCTGCTTATTAAAAGCAGGGCTATCAAAAGGCAATCAGCAGCTCGGTAACACAAGGCAGAGTCCCTCAGGTTTGATGCAAAGGAGATATTAAGAAGTTGTTCCTCTGAGAAAAAGGATGAACTGGTGTTTGGGTTGGGATCTGTTCTTGTGTTCGAGACAGGTTAAAATAAAAACTCAAACCAAAGTCATTTGTTAAGTATGAAAACCCATCTTGTTGCTAAAAATTCAAAGCCATGTAAAGATCCACGTTCTTCATCATCACTACTGGAAATAAGCATCATCTTCCCTTCACAGGCTGTAACAAATGGGAGCATTAAATTGTGTTGTATTGGTGTCCTGACTGTGTTTTCTTTCCTGATTTATTCCTTTTCAAAACAGATTAATATTAAAAGCAGAGCTATCAAAAGACAATCAGCAGCTCAGTAACACAAGGCAGAGTCCCTCAAGTTTGATGCAAAGGAGATATTAAGTTTTTCCTCTGAGAAAAGGGTGTTTGGGTCGGGATCTGTTCTGTATATGAGGCAAATTTAAATAAAAACCCAAAACAGAGGCAATTTAAAATAAAAACTCGAAACAGAGTCATAGATTAAGTATGAAAACCCATCTTGTTGCCTAAAAATTCACAGCCATGTAAACAGCCATTTTCTTCATGATCACCACTAGAAATAAGTGTCATTTTCCCTTCACATGCTGTAACAAATTCTTAAACTGTTGTTGTATTGGTGTCCTGACTGTGTTTTCTTTCCTGATTTCTTCTTTTTCAAAAGAAATAAAAAGTTATTATTGCCCATTTCATTACCTGTTTCTTACCAAAACATCTGCCAGACTTTTTAGCTTCCTAGAAATAGGTTAAAAAAGTAGTCTATATATACACTCAAAGTTTATTTTATTTCAGGAGGAGAAGTAAAACGGGATTTAACTCTTTGCTGCCCGTATCTACAGTGAATAAATCAAAATAATGGCTTTTCACAGCACAGATAAACCCTCCCAGGCTTTGCTCTATGTGTCACACCACCTTCTGAAGCAACTTTACAACATCTAAGTGTAGCACCCCAGATAAGCATAATTTCAGTTATCTGGGACTCAGAGGCAAAGAAAAAAAAAAAAGAAGAGTGAACTCTTTTTTGCATACAAAACAGTCCTCAATAATCTTTTTTTTCCCAAACAAAACATCAAATAAGTCTGTTCCTTCAGATGTTGCAGATGAATGGAGCCTGTCACACTGCCAGGGTGGGAGGATCTGCTCCCCAAGCCTTGCACAGGCAGAACAAGGGAATTCTCCCTCTGCAGCCACCTGAAAACAGCTCTGCTGTGTTTATGTTGTACCAAGTTGGCTGATCAGAGGATCTGTCCCCTTTCTTCTATCCCTGCAGGGCCACAGGATATCAGGCTTTCAAAGTCAGGATATTTGTCATTCATCCAGCATTTTTTGCTCCTCTCCAGCTTCAGGCATTGGCAATTTGTGTAGGTGAGGGAGGAAAAAAAAAAACAAAACAAAACACCCTCTAATGGATTTCTGCAGTGGGTTAATTTTTTTAAATGAGTATCTTCTGAAAGTCAAGTGGCTGGGGGGAGATTGATAAGGACAAGGAAGTGCTCCAAGGAACATGACAGGACATGTCCCAGGCAGCCCCAGAGTCTGAGATCGTTTCCATATGAAAAAAAAAAATAATGAGCCAAATAATTTGTTCTTTTTGATTTTTTCCATTTGAATTAGCAAAAGTAAAAGTCACTGGCACAGGTTGCCCAGAGAAGCTGTGGCTGCCCCTGGATCCCTGGAAGTGTCCAAGGGCAGGTTGGACAGGGCTTGGAGCAACCTGGAATAGTGGAAGGTGTCCCTGCCCACGGCAGGGGAGTTGCACTAAATGACTTTTAAAGGTCTCTTCCAACCCAAACTATCCAAGGATTCTAAAAACTGAGTTTTATTTCACCATTTCTAAACCCTTCCGTGTCCCTGCCCAGGGCAGGGGTTGGAACAGGATGGGCTTTAAGGTCCCTTCCAACCCAAACCATGATTCTGTGAACATTTTCTACTAAATACTCTCTGTCAAAAAATCACACTTCAAAAATGGGATAAAATAAAATAAAATAAAAAATTAGTAACTTATTTTTTTTCTCTTTTAGTTTCCTCAGCTCTAAGGATGAGCTCTAGAAATCAGCTCCATGATTCTGCCAGAAGTCTATTCCTCAGGATCAGAAAATTATTTCTGAAAGATATGTAATGATGCAAATGATCCAATTTGCAAAAGGTCTGCTCTGATACAGAACATACATCAAATATACATGAGGTACCCTGAATAGTAACTGTGCAGTTAGCAGAGCAATAAGTGTAATTATCATCCCGGATTACTTAAAACACAAATTGGTATCAAATTCCAGTAGCCAGTACAAGTGCAATGACAATTTGGGTTAGACACAATACTTTTTTTGCCTTTGAATGGAAGATAAATAATTGCAAAACGCAAACTATCCTGGTATGAAATAAATTCTAATGCAAATATTATGTATGGGACTCCAGCTCTTGTTGCTTTTAGACTTAGGAGAACTGTTCACTGTCCTGTTGCTTTTGGGGAAGAACAGGAAGGGAAATAAACTCAGAATTAATTTGTGTTGATTTTTTTAGATCTCTGCTTTGACATTTATTTGTATAAAATATCTTAGAACACTTACAATCATTTCCAGGACGAGCAATTAAATAGAATCCCAGAATGGTTTGGGTTGGAAGGGACCTTAAAGCCCATCCTGTTCCACCTCCTGCCATGGGCAGGGACACCTTCCACTATTCCAGGTTGCTCCAACCTGCCCTTGGACACTTCCAGGGATCCAGGGGCAGCCACAGCTTCTCTGGGCAACCTGAGCCAGGGCCTCACCACTCTCATAGCCATGAATTCCTTCCCAATTTCTCATCTAAATCCTTCAGGTCCTGCAAACCTGAAAGGACAGAGAAGGCACAGCCTGGAGGCACAACTCCCACACAGTCTGGACATTCCTATTTCCAACTCCAGCCTGTTGCCCCTTTTCCTTCCACCTCACCCTGCAGTGAGTGAAGAGGGATAACTGTGTCCCTCCACGTCCCTCTTCCCACAGCCAGGGATGCTGCTGGCTCCAGCAGCTCCACCTTTTCCCCAGGGCTGTTCCCAAACCAGCTCTACATCCCTGAGACCCATTCCTGGAGCAGCCAAACCCCACGTGCTGCCCGTGGTCACCTGAGCCCTGAGGGCTGAGCTGCCTCCGGGGGCTCCTGCCCTGCCTGGAGGTGCCACGTGGGGCTCCTGGGACGGGCAAAAATGCTGATAATGATCCTCATCAAGCTCCTCACTCACTTCCCGGGGCAGTACAGGTTCAGCTGTTATTAAATGAAGTTGTATCCCTCATTTATTGGTAGATTTGGGAGTTTTGCTGGTGTGGGATGACAAACACAAGCAGCGCGGACTGAGATGAGAAGGAGGAGCTGTGCTGGGACTGTGATTGAGGGAATGCTGAGGAGAGCAGTTGCTGACACCTTCAAAATTCCAGCCCCAGAAAGGAATGCTCTGGCTGCCATCAATAATTAACAGATAATAGAAGCATGTTCAAATGGCACAATAAAGCAGGATTTGCTCTGCAACAGCCGCGTTTCAGATTCCAAATGCAAAAGCTGTACCCTGGGGATGGCTGTTAGTGGAGAGAAATATTATGATCTGTAATTATTATTTGTTGTACACCTCCACAGTTGTAACATCTGCATGGTTTGTGCTTCCATGTGATTGCTCGGAGCTGGGGAGGAAATATTGCTGTGACAATAATTACTTGCAAATTGCACTGAGAAAAACACTTTACCTTCCAAACACAAATCAAATATAATGCCAGTGCTGGCTGTCCCAGGAACAGGGGGAGATTTGTAACCACAACCACCAGCAGGTTGTATGAAACAAAGCTGGAGAGTTTCTGTCAACTCAAAAAAAAAAAAAAGAAGAATTTCTGATCCTGGAGGAATTTCTCCCAAGTTACACTTTAAATGATGATCCTTTGTACAGCACACTAAGGCTGGAACAGTTGCACAGATTTGAAGCCATCAGGCTGATCTCAATTTAGGAAAGTTCTGCCCCTCCCACCTCAGAGTAAAATATGAGGAATGGCAAACTGTGAAAATGGGAAGGATTTGAGATGGGAACTGCAAGTCTTGAATTTCTGAAGTGAAGCAGCACAAGATGGTATGAACTGAGGCTTTTTGAAGACATGGGGAAATCACCCCTCTTCACAGAGCTGCAACTTTAGTATATTAACCTTTGGAATGATGGACACTTTGGGCTGTTGGCTTTAACCTGCTCATAGGTCACTCAGGAATTCCAGGTACGGCACACTGGGAATGTGCACAGAGATATTCCAAAACCCCAGATACCTCAAACCAGACCCACTCGAGAAACTAAACTTCCTACCCACACAAAGTTTATGTTCAGGATCCACAGTAACTCCAACCAAGACATGAGTTTATGTTCAGGATCCACAGTAACTCCAACCAAGACAGGAGCTTTGAGAGGATTAAATCCCAGCGCCAGGCTGGGAGGTGACGATCAGCTCAGCAGTGAACATTCCTCAAAGGGACATTTTTGTCCTAGAAAGCAAATCCCTTCTTGGCACCAAGGGCCTCAAGTTGTTTTAATTACCCCTGTTCAGTTTAGGTTTCGAACAGCAAAGCAGTGGTTCAGCCCTTACACACACAAACAGAACAATTCCGGGATGCAGGATGATCGTTTCTTTGGGATTTCTGCTGTTGTTCTTTCTCCTTGTTCCCATGTCCCAGCAGTGCTGAACCTCCGATGGGAAAAGGATGAAATTCATTAAATGCCTTGTATAAATCATGTATTGTTTTGCTCCCTGGCTGACTGTGCTAGAGAAGTTAAAAAATAAATGAGTGTACTTTGGCAGCACCACACGTGGGTATCACCTACTCCTGAATAATATTTACATGATGGAAGAATAGGCCATTCCTTGAACTGAAAAATGGGAGTTTATTGTTGAAATAATTAATGCAGACATCCTGGAACAACGGGATGAAGGGCTAATCCTGCCATATTTGGAATTATAAAACACTAAATCACTTTGTGTAGCTGCCAAAGTAGTTTACTCAGGAGACTGAAAGAAATGCTGATTTTTTTTTCTGTCAGTTCTGTGCTTTTCATTTGAACATAGATCAGAGGTTTGAGTGCTTAATATGAGGTGATCAGAAAAGTGGTTGTTTTCTAAGGCAAAATTCAGGCAGTAGGAAAGGTTAGAAAACTTCATTGTCTCTTCTGACCTTCAACACCTGAACACAAAAGCACTGAAAGCACAGAATTTGGATTCATTTTTTTTATGCTGCGCCTCTTCTCAACAGTAGCTCAAACATTATTTGGGTTCTTACTTCTTGCCAGGACTTCCCAGATGACTCTGGGAATATATGGAGCATATTCCCTGCTCTTCTGTCAGCAACTCCCAAGTTCCCACTGATCTCTGGGCCCTTGTGCAGCTCCTGTGGATGCTGATATTGCAAGTTCAGGCCTGGGGATGATTGTTGCACTTAGAAGAAAAATTTTCTAGCAGCTACCTGATGGTTTGGGTCATGATGCTCCATCCTGGAAGTGTCCAAGGCCAGATTGGATGGGGCTTAGAGCAACCTGGGACAGTGAAAGGTGTCCCTGCCCATGGCAGGGGTGGCAGGAGATGAGCTTTAAGATCCTTTCCTACCCAAACCATTCTGTGATTCTATGATTTTATAATGGATGGGAATAACCTATTAAATATATTTTTAGATAAGAAAAATAGAAAAAAAAATAGGAAATTGAAATAAAATCTTTCATTTTGCAGGAAATGGAGATTTTTCTGTTTGGGCAGAAAACTCCAATTTCCAACCTGCTTTATCTTAGGGGAAAAAAAAAAAAAAACAAAAAACAGTTTCAGCCACCACAAAGAGACAATGTTTTGTTCTCAGTTAAGTTCTCTGCAGGCTGCTGTTCTCCCAAGTCACCCTCACGCCCTCACACTTGCACTCTTCACCCAAATTCTTCCCCCCCACATCGTGCGAGGTGGGTCCCGGAATGACACACCAGGCACGAAGCCAAAGCTCTGCAGAGGACAACAGATCGTTCTGGAAGAAGCATCAAACACCACAACTGAGTGGGACCTTTCTCATGCAGAAACATAAAATGCAAACTTATTCTGTGTGTGTGTGTGAGTGTGTGTGTGTTGTGCCATCTGGCACCGGAGTCACGCGCGGCACAGCTGGGGAACGCGGGGAGGGAGCCAGTTGTCACCACCTGAGCTGCCAACTGCCAGAGAAACCCAGCCGCGCTCCTTCCAGCCAGCACAGGCATTTGTACGCCACGAGGAAGGGAAAACGTAACGAGAAACCTCCGAGGAAAGCCTAAAACAGGAAATTAAGAGCCCCCTTTAACTACACACGTGCGTCGGAAAGCGGGGAACGCGACACTCGGCACATAAAACTCTTTATAAACGAGCGTGTGCACGTGATGTAAAGAATAAATACGTGTCTGGGGTGGGTAATGGGCAAATGCAACAGGGGCTATAAGCCAAAGTCTCACCACTCAACAGTTCAGGTGTTGCAGCTGCAGCTTGCCTCAAAAAAAGTCAATTTTTTTTGACAATTACTGGCTGGAGGGGTGCAAGGTTTCAGATTCTCCTGCGATACCTGAGCTGCTTTGTCAGGGCTCTGTCACAACCACAGAGACGAGCACCTGTTGCCTGAGGAAACACAACCCATTTCTTCACACGAGGACATTCCACACTTCTTGAAACGAGCAGCAAAGGAGAGAAAGGTAAATGAGAAATGAAAAATGAACGTGGGAGCTCGGGGCTGGTAAAAAAGTTGGAAAACACCACATTGTCTTTTGTGTGAATGAGGAAACTCAGACAAACACAGAAAACGATCCTTGCTTTAACACCATAAAACTCACTAACAGAAAGAGGTAAGGAGATTGCTAAAAGATACATTTTTTAAGATGCTGTTTATGTTTCTGCCCATCTGAAACGATCCCCCTTGATTTATTGGCCCAGAATATATTGCTGCAGCAGCTGAAGGGATGATAATAGCCCTGGAAAAATGGGGATGCTGTTATTTGGTGATGGATTGAAGCACCGCTGAACCAGCGAGGGGATTTATCAACGTGCCTCTGAACTTGGTAAAAATGAGGCTTCTGGAAGTCTGGAAACTAAACTGGAGGAGAACTGCCAGCACCTCCCACTGCTGGGAGTCTTGTTTTAATTAGGGGTGACTAATTACAGCGACAATCAGGGCTTTGCTCCGTGGAGGCAGATGGGGCTGGTCACCACAACCAGCCTGGCCCTAAACACCGTGGGATCCCAACAGCACCATTCCAGTCCTTCATTTACCAATCAGTCATGTGATTTCTCTAGTTATTTATTCTCCCAGTTTACTTGATCTCCTAAAAATATTTGGCACCTTTGCATCTCCCAATGAAAATTCTTCAATCTGCCCAGTTACTAATTTTTTGTGTCCTAAACGTTGCATAAACAAGAAAAAGCTTCACAAAAATTAGTAAAAGAAGACTATTATTAAAGAAAGACCATTGTCTTGCCAGTACCTGGAGTGGGACCTGTGATTTTACCCAGAATCCACAGAAATTTCACACAATTATAAAGCCCTTTCCTAGAGGTGCAGAAATGACAAAACAATGACAAAACATCATGTTTGCCAGGAGAAAAGTAAAAAACTGCAGCCGTGTGACAATCCTTGAGGACTCAGAAGCCGAGGCACTTGTCAATCTGCATTTCTGGAATTTTTTTGCCCTTTCTTCTCGATTATGGAGCAAGGATTGAAACTCCAGAGCCCGTGTCTGTGTTGGTGGTGATCACTCCGCTGAGCACCACGACAGAGGGAGGGACAACTCCCAGCTCCCACACTCCCGTCACAACGTGTGAATCTCAGCTTTTGTTTTTATTGACACTGGCAGACAAAAGGATAAAAATAATCATCAGAAGTGTTAGAACAAGACAACAAATAAAAGATTCCCAGAGATTTTATAATTGTGGGTCGGGCTGTCAGATGGATGTTTGAGCCGACAACAGATGAATGTTGTGTTTTGATACACAGAGACCCTTCTCGTGTTGTCAAACTTCACAACAATGCACATTAAAACAAATTATTGGGGCAACTGAGTTTCTAACTGCTCCTGTGGTGCTTTGTGTTAAAATTCTGTGTTCCAGGAAGACAAGGTGGGGCTTTGGGGTATTTTCTGGGTGCCACCACTGACCTGTGCAAATGACTCCACATCAGAAGGCAGCAAAATGTTTGGACACAGGCTCAGGTCCCAGGAGCAACAAGCAGCAATTGCTCCTTCCTCAGCTGATGGGTCCTGCTGGGATGTAAGAGCAGAGCTGATCCAGCAGGTTTGTGATGCTGAAGCACAGATCTGCCCGGTCCTCCTCTTCCCTCCCTTCCCTGCAGCCTCCTGGACGTGTCCCATGAACCAGGTCAACCAAGAGAACTAAAAAGGGAAGAGTTCTCTGCCAGGTTAAAACCACAAGGGAAGGATCTGACAGGGCTGGAGCAGGGAAAGTTAAAAAAGAGAGAGGAAGAGAAGGGGAAGAAAACAGGACCTTTTCTTCCTGCAGGGACAAGCTGGAGGATTCACATTCCTTTAGCCCAGGAGATCACAGGGCTGACCTGACCTGCTCTAACACAGCTCATCCAAGACTTGCCTGTTTGTTGCTACTCAGGTGTCTCTGGATAGTGTTCAGTGCACAGCAAAGCACATCATCTGATGGGGAAAAATTCAAGTGACCCATCTTCACCCACATCCTTGCCACGGGCAAGGACACTCCGGGTGTCCCTACCCACAGCAGGGAGTGGAACAAGACGATCTTTAAGGCCTCTTCTGACCCAAACCAGCCTGTTGTTCTGGGATTCTGGGATTCTGGGATGTGTATCTCAGCTTAGGAGACAGACAAACACATTTCATCTCCCCAAAAGGAGCAATCTCTGCAGCACCAGTAGTTTTTTAAGCAATGACAAATGGATTAGCAGAATGAACAGCAGAAAGCCCCAAGATGGGTTTTCTGGGATGGAAAGGAGAACAGGAGAATCAGCAGAAATCAAACTAAAATTTGATATTCAGATAACTGAAACAGAGCAACCGAGTGACGCCGTAAAAACTCGGGAAGGCGGCGCAGAGGAGCTCTGTCTGTCAGACCCAAGTGGGATGGCAAACAACCTGTTCCGCGATTTTTTTTGTGCTCCCCAAATGTTTGTTCTCCCATTAGCACAGGGGGAAAAAGCATTCCAGCTTGGCACAAAGTGTTCTGTCGGGTCACATCGCGCCGCTCGGGAACACGTCGGATCGGACGTGACAGGACAAGTGCCGGGACATAACACGACCAAACAACGCCGGCACTCCGGGGATCCGGCTCCGCTTCCCTGCCCGCCCAGGATGTCACTCCGGGTAGGGAACAGCTCACCTGGAGCTCAAAGTGCTGTTGACTAGAAAGTGCTGGGAGCTTGGTTGGTGTCAGAACGCCCAGTTCACTTCCAGCACCTAAAGATCCCCGGGGAGAAGGGCAAACTCAGGCTGTTGACCCCAAAAATAAAACCTATTTGCAGGCTTAAACTGCTCCAGAGTTGCTCCAAGATTTTCCTAGGCACTGATAGGAATCTTTTGCTTCTATTTTAGAAAAATAGAATGAAAATAAGGATGGATTAATTTGAAAGGAAAAGCAGGCACCATTTCCATATTACCTGATATTCAGGAAATGGCTGTTTTTACTGCAGGGAGCTGAGAGAGCCCGAGGACAAATAAACAAATAGGCACAAGGAAAGAGAGGAGATTAAACACTGTATAAACATACAAATTATTTAAAGGAGGCGCCATGGGAGAGCTCTGCCTGGGAGTTTGGGGGCACAATTAGCCCAGATGACTGGCACCCCAATCCCTGCACCGGGGTTACCCAGGGCAGGCACGAGGATCCTCCCTGCTCCCAACTCCCCATATCCTCCCGGCAGCATCTCAGAGGCATCTGCACTCCCCTTCTGTGCCAAAATGCCTTGGCATTCCCCTGCAAGTCAATGGCAAGAAAAGGCTGGAAGAGAGAGATGAGGGGGTGGAAGGAACCTGAGGTGAAGAGCAGGAGATGAAAGAAAAAATGGGATTGAAGCACGGCTCAGATAAGAAAAAGTCCAGGAAAGAAACAAAGGAGGCTTTCCAGGTGTCTTATGAGGCTTCTCCCACGGGCAGAAATCTCTCTGCTGGCTTCTCCCTGCAGGTTTTTTTTGTTGGTTCATTTTAAGGTTCGGGATTTTTAAGATTTTTGTGCTCTTTTTGGCCAGAGCTCACGGGACAGAAGGCAGCAAGAAGGAAGACAGTACTTTTTAAGGTGTCCATGAAGAAAAGGGGGATCTGTGGGCTCAGTTCCAAGGGTGATGGGAATAGGGGCAGCCTAAGCCACTCCCTGTACCTGGCACTTATAGAATCATGGAATATCCCGATTGGAAAGGACCCATAGGGATCATCAAAGTCTGATTCCATCGCTTTCCTCCTTCATCCCTAACAAATCCCAGGTTTTTTGTCTTCAAAACTAAGCCTGGCTCCCTAATGCTATTTAGGTTCCTTACAGGCCACATTATCTGCAAAGTAACAAAGGTGTTTGGTTCTTTAAATGTGTTCTAGCACTGAAAAATGTTGCATTTCTGAATGCACTGAACTAACTTTTAGATTTCGTGCCTAGAAGTGAAAAGTCTTTGCCATCTGGAGGTCAAGTGTTAACAAACATGTTCATACTTTGCAACAGCCTTGCATGAGAATTAAGAAGTTAAGCATAAGAATTAAGAAGTTGATACATATGAAAGTAAAGCATCTAAGATTTTTAAGGATATGCCCTAATTTCTTTGGAATGTGAATTTTCAGAGCCTACCCAGGCAGAACTTTAACCACAGAATCATGGAATCACAGAATGGTCTGGCTGGGAAGGAGCTTAAAGCCCATCCAGTGCCACCCCCTGCCATGGGCAGGGACACCTTCCACTAGCCCAGGTTGCTCCAAGCCCCATCCAAACTGGTCTTGGACACTTCCAGGGATACAGAGGCAGCCACAACTTCTCTGGGCAACCTGTGCCAGGGCCTCCCCACCCTCACAGCCAGGAATTCCTTCCCAATATCCCATCTATCCCTTCCCTCTCTCCATGGGAAGCCATTCCCCGTTGTCCTGCCACTCCAAGACCTCCATATATCACAGAGAACAAAACATTACTGACTGGAACAGCAATTTCACTGGAAAAAGGGGAGATATTTACTGCTGAATACGGTAATTAATTGAAGTAAACGCATTAAGTGAATAGATTAAACTCAATTATCTGGATTTTTGTACAATTTCAAACTGAGAACGTTAAAAGCCTCGAGCAAACCCAAAATAATTGTGGGAAATCTCCCACACTTCCCCTTCCCTGACAACCCAGGAGCCAAGTTGAGAAGTGGTGCGATTTCGCCGAGCGACTTTTCCCAAGTCCCCAAGTTCCAGAGCATATGTTCCAAAGCTGGCACCTCCCAGGCACTCCAGGCTGTGCCTTTCCCCTGCTGCACTGCAGCAGAGCCCACGGAGGTTCCGTGCCCTCCGTGCCGGGGCTCCCAAGGGGTTAAAGCCACGCGGGCTCAACTTGTCAGGATTATTTTTGCCTCGTCTGGCAAAGTTGTTTGTTGTGGCTCGTCGGTGCTGCAGGGGATCAGTCACTCTGAAGGAGAGGATGGCCAAGCAGTCCCACAGTCAGACAGTGACTGGCACTGTCAGTAAATCATTTTGTCAAGGATTTGTTTTGCAGCGACGCAGAGGGAATTGTGTGGTTGTTTGGAATGAACTGGAGCGTTTTGTGTTGATCGGCTGCTGGGCCCACAATAAATGATCAATTAGGGCTTGTTAATACCACTCAATAGGGGTTTGGACATGACTTGCTTCACTCTGGGTAGTTCCTTAGTCCAGCAGATCCTCTCTCAGTTTTATGTGGAGCACTGGTATCATTTCTACCCTGTGTTATTTTTGGTACAAAGCAGGGAAGTAAAATGGTTTTCCACGTACTGAGGAAGGCTGAGAGAATTGGGATTGTTCACCTGGAGAAGAGAAGGATCCAGGGAGACCTGAGAGCCCCTTGCAGGGCCTAAAGGGGCTCCAGGAGAGCCAGAGAGGGACTGGGGACAAGGGATGGAGGGACAGGACACAGGGAATGGCTTCCCACTGCCAAAGGGGGGGGAGAGATGGGATATTGGGAAGGAATTCTTCCCTGTGAGGGTGGGGAGGCCCTGGTACAAGTGCCCAGAGAACCTGTGGCTGCTCCTGGATCCCTGGAAGTGTCCAAGGCCAGGTTGGACGGGGTTTGGAGCAACCTGGTCTAGTGGAAGGTGTCCCTGTCTCCCTGGAATGAGATGATCCTTAAGGACCTTTCCAAAGCAAACCATTCCATGATTCCATGACAACTGCCTTCCTTCAGCCCAAGCCTGAATCTCCTGTCACTCAGTGCACCAGTGTGAGCCATTCATGAGAACAGCAGAGAGAAGAGGAGTTGCACTGGTTGTGGGTCTGTGATCCTGGCCAGGTCTTGCCCAAAACACCCAGAGGCAACAGGCTGTGGATTTTAAAGCTGTGACAGACTGTTGGGAGCTTTGAATGCCAGCCTGTTAGAGAAGGCAATTTTTTTGGTGCAAGAGAAAGCTGCTCAGAGGCTGCACTTTGAAACTGTGACAGACATCCCTGTCCAACCAAAGGTGTCAAAGCAGAAATACAAACCAGGTGAGTCTGCAGAGCATTCAGTCCTTAATTATTATTATTATTATTTCTCTCTCAGTATTGGTTTGTTTTTTTTTTATACTGCCTATCCACTTACTTCTAATTTATTGACTCTGGAACTGTGGGAGAAGTTGTGCTGCATCCCACAAGCCTTGATCCCAGCTCTCCTCTCTGACAAGGATTGGTAAAACCAATGGAAGAGACAGAGTGGGTAAACAGGGACAATGAAATAAGTCTTCTGCTAATTGGCTTTAGACAGCAGCAGGGAAACCTTTCTAGATCTCCCTCTAGGCAAAGAAAAAAAAGAGGAATATTAGATCAAAAATCAGCTTAACATGTAGAAGCTGGTGCTGTGGCTAATGCTGCAGGATGGCAGTGGTTCAAACTGTATTAGGAGAGAGATTTCAACCCACGTTGAAATCTTTCAGTGAAAGCCTTTAGTTTTAGCCCATAAACACTCCAAATGACAACCCACAGACAAGCCAGAAGATTAGGGAAACAGCAGTAGGATAATTATTTCAGATAGACACCAAAGCTCCACAAGACTTTAGCAAATTAACGATTAGTTCATGTTGATGTGGCCTCCTCCCCTTGCTCTGGTCTTCCCAAAACTTGGGCATGGAAAACACTCTCAGAAATAATTTTAACCAACAAGCTGCTGCAAACCAGGCACAGCAAAAGGAAGAGAAAAGAAAAACGCAACAGGGGCCACAGAAGTGGATATGGGAGGAATAATTAGAAGCATTTCAATTAAATAGACATTGTGAAGCCAAGCAATACCTGTGGGCAATATATCTGTCAACACACACATGAAGGATGTAAACAGAAAGAATGGAAAGGGAAGATTTAGTGCAAGTCACTGGGCATAGCTGGGAGTGATGTGATTAAATTAAGAAAGATAATTCAGGTTGAATCTGAAGAACAACTTCCTGACAGTGAAATGTTTCGGCTTCAAACAGTCTCCCAGGTAAGCAGTTAATCCCCTCTCTTTAAAACATGACTGGGCAAGAGCCCCTGTGCCTGCACGATGGGAACAGGGCTGCTTCTCCCAAGGATGGATTGGAAAATGAAGTAAGCCTTTAATTTCTTTAATGTTTGGGAACCTACTGTCCCAGCAGGGATAAGAAAACTGAGAGAAAAAGGGAGAGATGGGAGGCAAACCCATCCTGAAGTCATGGTTAACCGGATTTTTGGGAGCAAATGGTTTAATGTTAGTATAGAAGAGATAAAAGTTGATGCCAGGGAAAAGGGGGGAAGTCCTGGGTTGGAGCTCAGCACAACCCTGGCATTTTATTATGATAGAACCATGGAATCATTGTGGTTGGAAAAGCTCTCTGAGATCATCGAGTCCAACCATTCCCCAGCACTGCCAAGGCCACCACTAACCCACGTCCCCAAGTGCCACATCCACGCATTTTTTGAACAATTCCAGGGATGGTCACCCCACCCCTTCCCTGGGCAGTGTGTGCCAAAGCCTGAGCCCCTTTCAGCAAAGAAATATTTCCCAATATCTAATCCAAACCTCCCATGGCACAACTTGAGGTCATTTCCTCTCATCCTGAGAATCACAGAATCCCGGAATCTGCTGAGTTGGAAGGGACCCACAAGGATCATCCAGTCCAACTCCTGGCCCTGCACAGGACAGACTCAAGAGTCCCACCCTGTGCCCCAGAGGATCATCCAAACCCTCCTGGAGCTCTGGCAGCCTTGGGGCTGTGCCCACTGCCCTGGGGAGCCTGGTCAGTGTCCAACCACTCTCTGGGGGAAGAACCTTTTCTAATATCCAACCTAAACGTCCCTGACACAGCTTCAGGCCACTCCCTGGGGTCCTGTCCCTGGTCACAGAGAGCAGAGATGGAGCTGCCCCTCCTCTGCCCCTCATGAGGATGTTGAAGACACAATGAGGTCTCCCCTCAGCCTCCCTTTTTCCAGCTGAACAAGCTCCCTCAGCCGCTCCTCATAAGGCCCCTCCAGACCCTTCCCCACCCCCGTGGCCTCCTTTGGGTGCTCTCTAGTGGTTTAATCAAGGTTTCCAAAAAGCTGTGCCCATTCCATGGCAGCACATCCCTCCCTGGATCATGCTCTACTCGATACTGGTGTTTTACAGATTTTTCTCTCCAAGCCACCCTCAAACATGAGATCAAGCAGCACAACCTAGAGAAGACACAGTCTCCACAGTGCACCTCTCCAGAGTCAACCCAGCAGTGGAGCCCTTCTCCTGCCCTGCTCCCCTCCAGCACGGTGCCCTCTCCATCCTCCAACCACCTTCTCCCAGTCCCCTCCACCCTCCCTCCACCACCATCCCAGCTAATCAAAAAAAAAAAAAAGGAATGAGCCTATCTGAGTCTCATTATCCTGCTATACAAATTAAATTGACTAAGGAGAGGCAAACTTAAGAGCTTTGCCCAAGGTTACAATCATATTCAGAGGCAAAGCCAAGACTAGATCTGGAATCCTGCTTTCTCCTGTAATGTTTAGACTACAGCTCCTGCAGCAAATGCTTTCACACTTTATAGTGTTTACTAACTTCATAATGTCTGCTCACATACTGCTCTGCCTGAAGGAGCTGCACGAGAGGGAATTTTGTCAATGGAAAATAAATGTGGTTATTAGGAACTGGGCAAGAGATAGTTGGACAATTCCTGTTGTTTCAGGGGAAAGCCAACAGTTTGGGGATTGCTGTAAGGAAAGAAAAAACAACCCAGGGATTATTCAGGCTTTCAAGTTTCACTTGGAAGGTCCTGGAAGTGCAAAGCACCATCCATCATCTTTATGATGCATCACATCACCTGAGGCATGAAGTAATCATCTAAAAATGCACTGCCCGACGTGCCCATCGTTACAATCAATACCCTCCACCA